TTGAAGCATGAAGAATGTTTTTCAAATTAAAAACTGGTGAATCAGTTTTATTGAAAGAAAAAATTCCACCATGCCAGTTTTTAAATTATGCAACTTGTTCTTTTTCATATGTTTAAGAGGCAGAGATGTTTGTTTTCCGAGTGGCAGGCGTTCTCACTGGTGAAGCCCTTTATTGTGGGGGAAGTTGATTTACTCAGCTTACTTGGTTGTGACAGCTCTTTTTCTATATCACCAGTAAACACTTTCCTCAAGCATTGAATCATGGTTCACTTGAGTCCAGTGCAAAGGGAGGAGTGGAAAACAACCTCAACTCTGGAACGTTGGTTGGTTGGTTTGTGTATTTGTTTTTGTTTTGAGCTCCTGGGTAGCTTGTATTTTAAGACATTTTAGGCAGAGACAGTATCTAGCTTCAAATAAGGAAAGGAAATGAAATCAAACCAAACTTACGGTCTTTTTTTTTTTAAGTTAGAGTAGATGGATAGGGTTTGAGGCATTGGATCTTTGCAAGAGTTAAAAGACTGGTGGTAAGGAGCTGTAGGCCCTCCTTGTTTTCATTTTAAGCAGATAGACCATCTGAGGACAAATATATTTGCTCACACCGCATGAGGTAGGTGATCTTGGATGGCGACGAGAAGACATAATAAGTCTCCAGTTTGCCCTGGGACACCTTGGCTCTTACTTGCCATCCATCCACCTGTCCTAGCCCTCCTTCCCTGTATTCCTCCTGTTATTTCTTCCTCCTATTTTCATCCTCCACTTTGTACCTAGTTTGAATTCCTCCACTGGGTCAAGTACTGTGCCTCTGTAGATTTAATCAGCTTCTCATAAAAAGCGAAGGGAACTGTGTCTGTTTTCTGTTCTTTAAATAATAAACCTTTTAAGGCCACCAAGTAAGAAAGAAAATAAAAATACTAAAACTTTCAAAGATAAAGTCTTTTTTTATCTAGTTTCACACCTTTTGGTCATTGAGGACTGTATCCGTTAGATGACACCAATACACAGAGCAGTGTGTAAACTGAAGGGTGCGGGTATTTAGAAACCAGTTTTGAGAATTTCTTCTGTATGATCTTGATTTTGTTCCTTTGTTTAAATGAAGAAAATCATCTTGATTTATAAAATAATTTTTTTCTCCTTAGACTATTGGGAAGAAGTTACCATCAACTACAGCAACTATAGACCCATCAAAAACAGAAATGACAGCAAGGACAAAGAGTAGTTTCCCAGTTTGAAAAAATCCTTATGTAATCTTGTTACTTTATCTTTCAAAACATCATACAAAAAATTCACATCAGTGTGTTTCATTAGATTCCTGTGAGTAGAAGGGCAAACACAAATTAGATTCGCAACCCTTTTTCTCTAGTATGGTAACGTGATTATTTCCTGCATATATACCTAGGGTTTATCCATTTATACAGAGTATTTTGCACAATTTAGGTGGCATAAAGGTTCTAGAGAATGGCAACTCAGGAGCTTTAGGGATTCACAGACCTTCAGGTCATTCACTTCAGCCTAGCCACTCAGCCAACATTACCTCCTTGACTTTCTGCCAGCCTCCTCAGTACAATTCTGCTTAAATGCATCCATATGCTTCTGTGACATATGCAGGCAGGAGATTCAGGTCTTTTGGGAAGAATTAGGTGAGAGGTGGAGGAGGTTAGTTGTGTTTTAGAACGTTGTTAGACAAAGAAATATCATATGAGGCAGAAATGTAATTTTAAATTTTCTGGTGGCCACATTAAAAAAGAAAAATAATTGAATTTAATTGTAATGTATTATATTTAACTCAATATATCTAAATATTATCTTTAAACATGCAGTCTATAAAAATTATTAAAATGAGTACTTTTTTCCTTTTTCTGCATGTGACGTCTTGTGCAATCCCATGTGTATTTTGCAGCTATGGCACATCTCAATTTGTAGTAGACGCATTTGAGTGCACAGTAGCCACATGTGACTGTTAAGTGACCATATTGGATAATGTAGTTTAAGAGTAATTTGGGGGCCTAAGATGAGCATAGTTGAAAATGCTCAGCTCTCTTAACTGTGTGGGGAATTCTGGCTGTAGCCCACAACTTGTTCAGTCCTACAAATATCTGTTAACCACATCATGTATCTGCTCTCTAAAAGCATCATGATGGGGAGTGAGTTACTAATGAAGAATAGATTTACAGAGGCTGGTGAGTGTTTTGTCTTAGTCCTGGGAGAACGAATTCTGTTACTAGTGATGTGACTGACCTTGGATGAATAATTTGATTTCTTGGGCCTTCCTATTCATTGTCTACATGTCTTTAAACCAGAGGATTGTACTAGAGAAAAACCCCCAAAACTTCTTCTAGCATCATCATCCTTTGATTCAATTCTATAAGCTTTAGGACTTGGAGAAAGGTTTTGCAATCAAAGTATTGGAGCAGCCAAATGGAAGAAACAAAAGAAAGATTGAACAATTTGGTAAGAATATAAGAAGATACTTATGTTAATATGCTATTAGTGGGTAGCAGGTCAGGAAGGAAATTAGCACTGTCAGTGAAACCTTGAGGATGTTTGCTGACAGACATTTTTCACGGATACCATGGCAAGAATTTCTGCAGTTTAATCTCACCCTATGTATACTCCTTTGGCTTTCATTGCCAAGAAGAAGTTCTGTAATTGTTTTCCCACAATTTCCATTTAGTGGCACTAAAAATTCCCCTTCCGTTGGATCATTTCCCCACTTCTGGATTTTGATGCCACATCTGGTTCAGGTAAGGTACAGATGCTGACACTATAAGAAATAACCCAGAGCTTGGGATCTGGCAGTCTCCCTTCTTCCTTCTGATGAAACTTGCCCAGCAGTACAGTGGGGCAGTTCTCCTGCACAGCTGACTGCTTAGCGTGCTCAGCTACATGCGCACAAGAGAATTCAGTTATGGTGGATTCAAAATGTTCATGGGGGTTAGTATTTTCTGAATGAATGTAGAACTCAGATGATTGGGATTATTTAAACAACTCCCACCCTCAAACAAAAGACTTCTATGATACTGAAATTCTTCAGAAATTCATGCTAGGGAACAGATGCCATAATTTTCATAACAAAGAGGAGAACTGGTCTAAATATTCATAATGAAGTGCCTTGAGGTGCCTCCAGCACTCATCACATCTGGAGTTTCCGTTCTTTCTTATTACAATTGATGCAGATTTGTGGCTCTGTGGAATAGGAAATAACCAAGAAGGGCTATTAACATGACTGAACTTATAGTTCAGTCTTATAGATTCAGAAGACCAGATGAACAGGTGGGTTTGGAATTTAAAAGTGCTTGATAGAATTTATATAAGGGCACATTAGGTTTCTGAATAAATGATGACTAGCGGGGGTGGTGGTGCAGAGGCTAAGTTTTCCCTGATGAACCTCATTCACTCCATAACTGGATATTCGTACATCTCTGTGATCAGTCTGTTCATGACTTGTTTCTTAGGAGTTGTTCAAGATGGTAACACATGGTGCCTTGTTGCTATCATTATTAGATCATTGGCCCCTATAGGTTGAGGACATATCTTCTATTTGATAGCCCCACCTCACAGCTTAGAAAAGTACCATGCACTCAGTGGCACATAATAAGTGGTGGTTGAACAAATGGAGAGTTACAAATTATTTATGACTTATTAGGCTCTAAATTGGACAGGGCTTTTTAAAAACTATTAGCCACAGGTCCCTTTTCCCAAGCATACAGTCACCAGGAGGAAAAGGACTCTGAGTCTTTGTATTTCTGAGTAGTTAGTAGTGGTTGTCAGTGGTCCTTGGGACTTAACAGACTCTTCTTTAGTCTAAAACCACCAGGGATAATCTATAGTCGGATGAAGTCAGAGTCAAGTTTATTGACTCATTGCAGTGAGGGAGGTATCCACACAAAGTGAAAGAAAAGAAAAGTGGTTACAGATTTTGGAGAAATGGTGGGCTTTAGTGAAATTTCAGTGAAACCAAGTTTTGGTAGGCACAGCAAAGCAGGGCTATGTGTCAGGGAGTCATCATCAGTTTTAGGGTGTGAGGTGGAACCAAGTTCAGTTTCTTTCACAGCTACCAAGTTGAGATAGATGTGCAGTGCTACAAGGGGTCTAGAGACCCCTTACTTGAGGCTCTGCACTTGTTTTGGGAATCAAGGGTGCTTCTCTTAGTTCCTTCAAGCAAGATTGCAATATTTCATTCTTACTGATACAGTTTTTCAAGGGCAAATTTTCCAGTAGTGTGTGGTTTTAGGGGACAAACTTTAGTGGGGAGCAAGAAAGCAATGGTCACTGAAGGAAGGGGATTGTTAGACTTTACAGCCGTAGCACATGCTTGAGACAAACTGTTGCCTGTTGACTTTGCAGTCGACCTTACCTGTGTCTGTTCCCCTGCCTGATGAATGGGTGGGCACATTGTTACTGTCTCAGCCCCAGCTCATTGTTGTTTTCTCACCACATACTCAAATAGGAGGAAAAAGAGAGTTGACTCCCTTGTGTTAGGTTTCCTTAGTCTCATAACATACTCATTCTTGGGCCTGGGGATTTAGGCACATCCCCAGATGAACATGAAGCATGTTTCCTTCCCACCCTTTGGTGTCTGTCACACTGATGTACACTAAACTTGCATGCTTAGTATCCCAAGAGTCCCCTCTTCCTAGGAACACATTTCATCAAGTGCCCTCAACGCAGTCCTGCTATCTGGATTCAGAGTGAGGGTCTTCCCTTGAGGATGCCCAGCTACCAAGGTGCTTAAGATGTGCATTTCAATGCTGTTCTCTTGGAGAAGAAAGATTATATTTTCCTGGTGTGTCATCTTTCTCCCAAAGAGTCTCCAAGCTTCCTGTAATCTGAGCAAAAGAAACTGCCATTGAGAGAAGCAACAATCTGCTGTCTGCTGAACAGGAAGACTTTGCTTCTCAGATTTACAGTTTTTTCTTTTGAAAAAAAAATACTTCTCTTTTTTTAAAGTAAATGGTGTTTAATTAATACTTGTAAAATAATTTAAAAGTTAATTCCTGGCCGGTAACTGAGATTTGGGGTTACAGTCAGCTTCTTCTGAAAGGTAGCTGCAGGGTTGGAGTTGACAACATGACGTACATCCTGCCTGAACTTAAATGTAGAGTATGTTTGGTATTGATATTTGGGCCATATCATTCTTTGTTGGGGAGACTGTCCTGCATGCATTACGGAGCATTTAGCAGCTTCACTGGTCTCTGTCTAGCAGATGCCAGTAGCACCTATCCCCTCTCCCCAGCTGTGACCACCAAAAAGTTTCAAGGTATTGCCAATGTCCACTGGGTACCTAACCTATTTAGTCATTTTGTGTTGCTGTAATGGACTACCACAGACTAGGCAATTTTAAATGATAGAAGTCTATTTGACTCATGGTTCTGAAAGCTGGAAAGTCCAATATTAAGGGGCCACATCTGGTAAGGGTTTTCCCGCTGCATTATGACATGGCAGAAAGTGTCACATGGGCCAGAGAGAACAATACTGAATTCTCAAGAATTCACAGCCTCAAGACCTTTTGTAATCAGCATTAATCATTCATGAGGGTAGAGCTCTTGTTACCTTAATACCTCCTATTAGTCCCTATCTCCCAACACTTTTTTTTAATTGGGAGTTAAGTTTGGCAGCACATGAATTTTGGGGGACACATTCAAACCATAGCAGAGCCCCAGTTTTGAACTATAGTCTGCAAGTAAGGGCAGTGCTGCATCCCTGCTCCCTGCTGTACAGTGGACAGTTACTGCTTATTGAATAAATGAGAAGCTTAGTATTTTTTTCACCTCCTTCCCACTAGCCCCAGATGCTAAGGATTTGGCCTAGAACTAGAGCTCTTGTCTAAATCTAGCATGCCTCACACCCAACCCCAGAACTACCACCACACTGGCCCACCTTCTTAGTTCCCACCGTTACTAGGCTCCTTCCCAGCACTGAATCTTGACTAATGCCCGCTGCTAGACCATAATTTTCACAGCGTGTTCCTAGAGCCAGCAGCAGCAAGCATCACCCTGAAACCTTGTTAGAAATGCAAATACTCAGGCCCCACTCCATCCATACCCAATCAGAAGCACTGGGAGTGGGGTCCAGCAATCTGTTTTGAAGCCTCCATCTGGTGCTGATGCCCACTCAAGCGTGAGAGCCACAACTGAGACTAGGACTTTTAAAATGTCTGCAATGATGAGAAACACCAGTGTAGATGGATTCCTGGTCTCACCTTCAACTTGAAG